TTGAGTACTGCACCTTAATAGGGTCATCTTTTAAGATTTTAAATAGTTCAACAGGAATGCCATCACCTCCACCTGCCTTGTTGTCAGCCATGCTTTCTAAAGCCCACTTGACTTCACTCTCCAGGATGTCTGGCTCAAGGTCAGCAACCACACTATCTGAGCTGTCTGGGACACCCAGATCTTTCTGGTATAATTCCTCTGTGTATTCTTTCCACCTCTTCTTGATGTCTTTTGCTTCTGTTAGGTCCCTACCATTTTTGTCCTTTATCATGTCCATCTTTGCACAAAATGTTCCTTTCATTTCTTGAAATGTTCTCAATTTTCTTGAACAGGTCTCTGGTTTTTCTCTTTCTATTCTTTTCCTCTATATCTTTGCACTGTTCATTTAAGAAGGGTCTTTTGTCTCTCCTTGCTATTCTTTGCATTCAATTTTCTGTAGCTTTCCCTATCTCCCTTGCATTTTGTTTCCCTTCTCTTCTTTGCTATTTGTAAGGCCTCGTTGGACAGCCACTTTGCTTTCTTGCATTTCCTTTTCTTTTAAATGGTTTTTGTTGCTGCCTCCTGTACAATGTTACAAGCCTCCATCCACAGTTCTTCAGGCACTCTGTCCACCAAATCTAATTCCTTAAATCTGTTCTTCACTTCTACTGTGTATTCTTAAGGGATCTGGTTTAGATTATACCTGACCAGGCCAGTGGTTTTTCCTACTTTCTTCAACTGCTTATGGGGTAGTACAAGTTGTATTACTATAGACATAGTCTAATACTACCTGCTCGCTACAATGTCATGCATGCATTTACTTAACTGTCTACTTCCACTGCCCTCTTCAATTACATAAAGTGTGGCTACTCACTCAATTGCATATAACATGTACATTATAAAAGGTGACTGTTCATTTCTTCCAAATAACAGCATTCAGATGTTGGATAAATTGTTACGTGCCATAAAGTTGGAGCTGACTTATAAATACCCTAAACAGAGCTATCATGATAAGAGAGATATTTAAAGATTGGTTTTACCAAATAAATTGTACCAGTAATTAATTGCAGGCCTAAACTAAAAATTTAGAAGTTTTGGTTTGTGAATTTTACAATTCACAAAATTTGAGTTTTGAACCAAAAGTCTTTGATCTGACTCTGCTAAACTGCAATCATAAGAATACTCTTATCACTCTGTCTAAAGCCACCTAGAACGGAGAGTATGCAGACCAGCTCCAAGCAGTCAGCAGAAAGGGCCACGCAAATGCAGATGGCTGTTCTTAATGAGTTACTCATAAAAATACCTTGAGGTCTCTCCGTTCGAGATGCAGGAGTTCAGAGCCCCGGACGTCATGCCGGATGAAGATATCCTTATACTCACAAAGACTGAGATGCTCAAGCCAGGTCGCAACCTCCTCCGTTCCCCAGAGGTGAACTGTCAGAGATGGAAAAGCAGGTATGTATTGAGTACCCCAAAGCCCAAAGGAAAGGCAGTGAGAAGAGGAAGGTGATTATCAGCAAACACCAAAGTAGCACAAAAGGAGAAGAGAGACCAGCACTATCAAATTCATTGAGGAAGGAATGATGAACAGTTCAACTATTCTTATGGAAGGGAAAGGAAACAAGGTAATATAAACAGACGATGTCTTAAAAGGAGGTGAGATATAGTGAAAGCTCTATTTAACTGAAATCAGTTATTATGCCACTGCTACACTAAAAAAAGTGGGTCTAATACTGTATCTTAGTCTCTACATAATTAAAAAAAGATTTTTGGCACAAGCTCTGTGGCCTGAGCAGTTTCTCATAAGTACCACTCAGCCAGCAATACATGTCCATCACCTGACTGAGCACTCATTCAAAATACTCCCAGGGCCCATCCTGCTTAAGTATAAAGGCTCTAAGACTCCCCTATTAACAATAGCTGCAATGTGGGAGATTTCTTAAACTAACCTCTTTATTTCTTCTCCCAACACTGTTGAACTTGGAACCTTTTTTTCTGTAGGAATCACCAAGAACTGCTTAGAAAATTTAATTCTTGTTTGCCTTCCATGGTGCTACTCATTTTGGCTTCATCAAACTGAAGAACTGGCTTCTTGTATTACAAAGAAACCAGTCCATGGTCTGATCCTGATAGGGAGATCTAATATTAAAGTAAACATTTTCAGCAAAAACCTTTTGCGTAACTTTGCACTGGTGTCCTGGCGTGCTCTGGTCCATGGGGTCACGAAGAGTCGGACACGACTAAACGACTAAACACACACACGCACTGGTGTCACCCAGATCAGCCACCAGGAACACTTAATTTAAAATCATGGAAGATTCCCTATCCCTCCCCCCCCCTTTCAGGTTCTGAAGCTCCCTACTGTTATGGGGAAGTCTTTTGGAGCCTTGGGATGGGAGTGGGGAGCCTTTAATAGGAAAAAAACAACAACCCCACTGCCAGAATGCTGCCAAGACTAAGATTATGTTCCCTCCTGTACTGAGGCTCCCAAAGGTTTCCCAGAGCAAAAGCAATCCCTAGGAAAGATTCCATAGCTTCAATTAAATGTTTCTGCCATCTGATTTGGGTTAGGCCAGTGTAAGGTTACACCAACAGGATGTTGCCCATTTCTCTCTACACACAGCAAAGGGGAGGCACATAAACTCCAAACTTCTTGCAACTTCGCTATGCATAAAAGCCCAAACTAGAGTATCAATTGATATCATTTGTATCTATTTATCAAATGAATACATTACAGACACACTGCTTATTATTTTAGGGGAAATTATACTGATCTTAGGGGAAAGAAGACTGAACATGAACACACAGAGCCATCCAGCCTTTTTGACAGCCTCTAAATAAGAGAAAGCCAACAGAATCTTAAAATCTAGAGAGGTAAGAGAGCAAAAAAAAGAAATGATACATCACAAAATCAGCAAGAGAGTGATTTCATTAAGCCCCACAGAACAAAGACAGAATGTCCCTATAGAAAAAGAATTATCACCCAACCAATCAACTACCCAAGCATCCTGATATCATTTAAAGCACTGATTTCATTGGGCTATTTTAAATTTCATACTAACCAATAAAGATGGTTAGTTAGTTCAGGATGCACCAGTGATGATGCAGAATCCTTAGATAATTAGACGTGAGATTTGATTAAAGCCTGGGAATGACTCAATTGGCGAAGATCATTAATCAAACCAGGGAATGCTAGCAATGGGAGAGAGGGATATTGCAGACGTGAGCTCAACAGTCCATGAAATTTTTAAAGACTTCTATAAATACATAAATGAACACCAATGGGTCACTCTAAAATGCCACTGAATGTCATTTGAGAGGTATTACATGTTTCTGTATTTCAAAATGGATACTCAGCGTGTATCTCTGAGATAAGGCAGCAAATATAGTCTCATATGGGAAAACTACTGCTATGAGAATGTAAAATACCTGCTGACATAAATAAAAAGGACAAACACAGAGAAGAGAGAGAGTAGTGATATTCAAGAACAGCAGCAGAATAGAAGCACTGCTCTTTGCAAAGTGGTGCACCACATGCACATATGGATATATGTGTGAGGAAGGTTAAAGAAAGAATACACAGACAGGCGGTACCCGGCATTCCTAAGCTGGTACGTGTTTCTTTATTCTTGTTGTTTTTCTCTTTCTTAAACTTTGTCACCAGACGAAATTTGCCACTCCTGCTGCGTTTAGAATAATCCAACATTTGGTTCTATAGGAAAAATATATAGAAATTATGAAATTTATAACTGTAAGTACAGTATTTTTCCATGTATAAGACACCCCCATGTATACGACCCCTCTTTTTTAACCCAAAATTTTTCTTCGCAAGAAAGTGGAGGGGAAAGACAGAGATCAAAGTGCTTTGATTCCTGCTTTCCCCTTCCACTTTCTTGTGAAGAAAATGCTCCCCCCCCCTTTGGAAAAGTGGAGGGTAGCTGAGGAATGTCTGACAAAAAAACTTGCTAAACTGATGATGCCCACATTCCTAAGCTACTCCAGTAATAGACTGTAATGTAAGGCCCAAGTGGCTTTACTCTCTTCATCCATCGATTTACCTCTTCATCACTGGGTTCCACGAGTTGCCACAACCAAGGAATATTTGCTAGTTTCCTCATATGAAGGTCCATTTCAGTCAGAGCTGTGTGGAGCTGCTCCTTCTGCGGAGGATCCAACTGCTGCATCAAGAATGGAAAGATTCAGGCACATATTTAAGTGCCACGTAGATGAATGAAGAGTTGTTCTGTCATTCTAAACTCTATCGGGATCATTTCTGGATAAACAGCTACCAAGGCATGATGGAGTCATTCAGACTCAGACAATCGTATCTTGATGCAGTAAACTGAGATGCAAGCAACTCTTTTGCCCACATATAAAGCCGCCCAGAGACCTTTGGGTAGTGTGGGCGGCATAGAAGTTAAATAAATGAATAAATAAATGTACAAGCATTGTACTCCTCTTTCCATGCAAGCAACAACTAAATAAGGAAATCATTAATGAACTTTTTTGATCCAAACTAGAAACTGTGACTACAAGCTTTGGAATAAGCCAGAATTGTAACATCATTGTATGAACTTAAATTAAGATCCTGGTTTCCTCCAAATCTGATAATCAGTTTCTCAGTTTTGAATGAAATAGGAAACCTGATTATAAATTGCTTTAACTATTATTTATGTCAAGAGAAAAATCAAAGGGCCTGTGTGCAGAGAGAAAAGGTTTGTTTGGCTCAGTATATTAAGCTGAAATACAGTGGGGTCTTGACTCGCGAACTTAATCCGTATTGGAAGGCGGTTCACAGGTCAAAAAGTTCGCAGGTCAAAATCTGCATTCCCATAGGAATGCATTGAAAAACATTGTAATCCGTATCTGCTCTGTACCTTCCACAGAAAGTAAAGGGAAGCTGCTATTCTGCCTTCTGCCACTAGAGAGGGATATTTTGTAATCCCAGGAAGGCGAAACAGGCAGCCTGGCCATTTCCTCCCAGCTCCGGGAGAATGGGCCAGGTGGAGATGGGAGCAGCAGCAGCAGCACACGGTGCCCGGCCATCGAGGCTCCCCGTGGCGCTCCCTCCCTCCCCGCCCGGCCCGTTTCCAGCCCCAGCCGGATCCCGGCCCTCCTCGCTC